GACCTGAGACGGAAGTCTCGTCCGTAGACGGGGCAGATGACACGTACTGTTGACTGGGACGTGAGAATGAGGTCTCAGGTGCATCTAGCGTGGGATCCGAAGTAGATGTAGAAATCCCGCTAGAAGCTCTGATGGGTCTAACATTGGGTCTCGGCTTATCAGGTATAGCACTGTCATCGACGTGTGCTGGCTTGAGACGATCAATGCTGACTACTTTGACGCGGCCATGTCGATCAACCTTGAAGGTCTTCTCGTGACGAGAAATCACGTGAAAAGGTCCTTCGTAAGGCTGTTGTAGAGGTTTGCGTACCGAATCTACTCGTATGAAAACATGTGAACAGGTAGATAACTCTCGATGGAGAGCGACCTGTCGATGTTGTATACGAGTTGACACCGGAGTCAGTGTTCGCATGAATGCAGACAGTCGTTGGACGTAGTCTGATTCGCCGAACTTAGTGCTGCTCCGTGGTGTGAAAAATTCCCCAGGCAGACGCAATGTCGTGCCGTAAACAAGTTCAGCGGCGGAACATTGAATATCTGCCTTTAAACTCGTTCCCAGGAGGACGAGCGGCAGGGTTTCGTACCAATTGTTGTTTTCGTGTGCTCGAAGAGCACTTTTAAGTTGGCGATGAAACCGTTCAACTAAACCGTTTGATGCTGGATGGTAGGCGGTAGTGCGTATGCGTTCCGTACCAAGCAGCCGTGTTAGTGAGGAGAATAATGCAGACTCAAATTGTTGTCCTCGGTCAGTCGTGACAGTCGAGGGACAACCATACATAGCTATCCATCATTCTACGAAGCGGTGAGCGACTGTCTCCGCCGTAATAGACGTGATGGGAATAGCTTCAGGCCATCTTGTGAAACGATCAATGCATGTGAGTATGTGATCATACCCGTGCGATGGTGGTAATGGTCCTACAATGTCTATGTGAACGTGATCGAAGCGAGCATCAGGCGTAGCGAAAGTGCCAATAGGGGCAGCTACGTGCCTGTGCACTTTTGATCGTTGACATTGTAAGCATTGCTTTACCCACATACGGACATCTTTATTCATGGACGGCCAGACGTATCGTGCAGCGATGAGGCGTAATGTGGCTGCGATACCAGGATGAGATAAACCATGAAGGGCATCAAAGACGAGACGGCGATAAGCGGAGGATACGATGGGTCGAGGGAGGCCCGTAGAAGTATCACATAGGATAGTACCTGAGCTAGTAGCTAGGGGTACTTCCCGACACTGAAGGGACGTAGACTGTTGTGCTTCCGTGCATGAAGTATCGTTTGCTTGGGCGGCGGCCATAGCAGGTAGGTCAAGCACTGGCAAAGTAATTGCATTAAGTTGGATACGTGATAAAGCATCAGCAACACATTTCGACTCGCCTTTGACGTGACGAAGGTCTGTCGTGAACTGGGAGATATAGTCTAAATGTCTGCACTCTCGTGGTGAGTAGCGGTCAGACTTGGTATGCAGAGCATACGTCAAGGGCTTATGGTCGGTGAATAAGATGAAATTACGACCTTCTACAGCGTGCCGGAAATGTTTGATGGCGCAGTAGGCTGCTAGCAGTTCGCGACCAAAAGCGCTATATCTCGTCTCCGTGGGAGTGAGGCGTCGTGAGAAAAATTCGAGGGGCTGCCAACTACCGGAGATATTCTGTTGCATAACGGCTCCTAAGGCGAAATCCGATGCATCAACCGCTATACTAAGCGTGGCTGATGGGCCAGGATGCACGAGAAGTGTGGCTTGAGCTAGGGCCGTTTTGATATCTGAAAATGCAGTACGTGCGGCGTCGTTCCATTCCAGTTTGCTTGGATTACCTCGAAGTAAATCGGTTAACGGTCGTAACTGTTCTGCCGCGTGCGAAATGAAGCGTCGGTAGAAGTTGACCAAACCGAGAAATGCCTTCAGTTCCTTGAGTGTGGACGGTACAGTGTACTCCATTATAGTACGTACTTTATCCTCGCAAGGTAGAATACCCTCATGCTTAATAACATGACCTAAGAATTTTATTTCCTTCTTCCCGAGTTCACACTTGTCGGGGTTGACTATTATCCATTATCCGAAAGGCGCTGGAATAGTAGCGTCAGGTGTTGATAATGTTCATCTACGTTTGATGATGCGATTAGCAGGTCATCAATATAGACGTGAACAAAATCTAGGTCTCGTACAATGCTATCGATAAACCTTTGGAAAGTTTGAGCAGCATTCCGTAATCCAAATGGCATTCGTAGGAACTCAAATAAACCGAAAGGAGTCGTGATGGCAGTTTTCTCTATATCTTCAAGAGCGACTGGGATCTGATGATATGCTCGTACCAGATCGATCATGGAAAAAATTGTCGTGCCCTTGAGTGATGCCATGATGTCATGTATGTGGAGGATGGGGTAGCTATCGAAACGTGTAGCTGTGTTTAACGCTCGGTAGTCTCCGCATGGTCTCCAACTAACCCCATCCTTTTTTTGAACCATGTGGAGAGGTGAGGCCCAAGGACTGTGAGAAGGACGAATAATACCAGTAGCTAGTAAATTGTCGAACTCACGTTTAGCGAAAGCTAATTTGTCCGGTGCCAGTCGGCGAGGTCTTGCCGTGACTGGTGGTCCGCGGGTGATCATGTGGTGTACCACACGATTGGTCACCAATGGAGTCTCCTCGAAAGGTTTAGTTAATTTGGGGAATTTCTGCAATAAAACGTGGGATAAATCGTCACGCGAATGAAATACACCTGTGATTCGGTACTCGTTTGTGTTGCTTTAAAGCCCATAAAGTTGCTGTTCGACGAAGAATCAATTGGCTGCAGCCTACGTGAATCGACTAGCAATTCATAGTGCTGTAGGAAATCGATACCGAGTATAGCTGTGGGAACATCGGCAATGATGAACGTCCACAGATACTGTCGTCGGTTGCTCAGGTTGACCGTAAGTTGTCGTGTACCATAGGTGGGAATGACTGAGCCATTCGCAGCGCGTAGTCGAAGCATAGTGGCTTGAGACTTAGTGTTACCGATAGGTACGACAGAAACTAGGGCACCCGTATCCACAAGGTACCTAGCGTTGGTGCGATAATCGTGCACGTAAAATAAACGGCCAACCTGAGGTGAAGTGCCGGCGAGTACGGCCGCATTTACTCGCCGGCTGAGGAGTTTCCCGTCTTGTATGAGCAGGGGGCTCGACAATGACGGGCACCGGCCCCGAAAGCACGGTGAAACCAGCACCAACTCGAACTCACTTCCGAAGCCGCCTTCTGGCGTGGCTTGGAAGATGCCCGCTTGGGGCAAGTCGTTACGGCTTTTCGAGATCGTGACCCGGGTCGGGGGACGTAGGGGGCTGGCACATTTGAGCGGTCTCGAAAACTTAGACGAGTATGGATACATCTGTCCCTATCCCCATGAGCCGGAGGTCGTCTAGCATCGAGATCAATGTTAGAACGGGAAGTAGAGGCAACAATATAGTTGTCTTTGGCGCTAACACGTGCTAGAATCTTGTCTGCTATGAGGGCCACCTTGTGCAGTGGGGTGTTCTCGAGCAGGGCCGTAAGAGTTGGCTGGATACTAGCTGGTAATGCTTCGAGCCATAACTCTTTGACTATTTCGGAGTCTGCTGTCGAGTTTCCTGCAAGGGATTGCAGGCGCGTGAGGTGGTGGCTCGGCTTAGCATCACCCATAGGGTGACGTGCTAAGAGAGTCCTCAATCGTTCCTCTCTTGATGGGAGGAAATGTCGAAGGATGGCATCCTTAAGACGGTCGTAAGCGTTCGGATTGAGGACAACCTCACGGACAGCAGTTAGGTGATCCCCGGGCAATGATTCCAAAGCGTAGGCGTACTTTTGCCTTTGGTTGGTTATGCGGCGGATCTCAAATTGAGATTCCAGTGCCGCGAACCAGACTTCTGGATCATGAGGGATGAAAGGAACCGGTCGAAAATTGATAGCCTGTACCTCGGAGTCTATTATATTTATACTACTCTTATCGTTATCCACCATGGTAAGTTGCCAAGATATTATATATTGAAAATATCAATACGAATATATGCAACAGAAGTGGATAGATAAATAGACTCATCGGATTGATCTGCGTTGGAAAAATGGCCAAGTTTGAACTGTGCTCAAAGAATTGGGTTACTGGTTGTGGTTCGCCAGATGTTGTGCGTGTTCCCAATACGGCTCACCAGTTTGTAGTGAGTATCCCAAATACGGCTCACCAGTTTGTAGTGGATGTCGAGTCGAAGACGGACTATGATCACCACTACAATTCGTTTACGCGCCCAAAAACGACTTGGTTCCTTTGATAGCTGGTAAATCAGAAGGCTTTATTAATCCAGATCAATTGTATTTATCGGCGATCTCGTGGTATCGAAATAATACCGAGACGTACCAACAAGTACAGGCGAAAAGGCAGTGCGTGAGCAAGTTCAAACCAAACAAGGCGGAGAGGGAAAGCATAAGTGAAACTGATACAGTTAAACAAATACAGTAAAACAATCTCTGGTACAATTGGTTACAATAATAATAATTGTTTCCGTTATTCCAATCGTGTTCTTATCGAGACTGGCCGGTCACTACAACACTAACCTGAGAGGTAACACCCAGAAATTGGAGACCCTACATAGCAGAACAGACTGCGGACACAACTTCTACTCCGTTAGAGTTGTCAAGTGCTGGAATTCGCTGCCGACTGAGCTAGTCCAAGCGACCTCCCAGTAGTCCTTTAAGATGAAACTTGACTTATTCTTAAGGACTAAGAATAACATATTATTATGATTTACCAAATTCTTTTTTTCCCTCTATTATCGTTCATATACCTCGGTTCTTGCCTGGAGGTATTGGTGATCCACTGCTACCAGACACGGAAGCCCGTTAAGCGAAAGCTTCTTCTATTCCGTCCTCAACCATTTGAACCATTTGAACATATTGTAGATTGAATTTGGACACATTTTCAAAAGACTTCGTTGCAATCTATGTTTACCTTTGGGTTTTACCTTTATAATGTAATAAATATCTCAAAATGTTTGAAAATAATGTTAAACCAGATGTCGAGAATCTTATAGATAAATATATCAACCCAAAGTCTTCTGGTAACCGAGTTAATATATCTGATGACCTGGAAATTAATGATTCGGAAAACAGAGATTACTACGGCTTTTACCAGTAAGCGTCTGGAACATTCTGTTAATGGTTTTCAGTGGTGTTTTTTTCCTTTAAGTATAGCTTTTGTCATATGTTTCGTGTAGTCTTCGCTGAAATTCCTTGTTTTGATGTTGCTTGATTTAATATTCTTGCACTTTTACGCATACTGACCATTCAATTTACAATAAATCTTGCATTATGCACCTGTAAGCACTGATTTGACTGCAATGACTTGTCCATAATCAAAGGTTCTGGCGCTTTATCATAGTTATTGTCAATACTACAACTATTTGAAGTTTCACACTATAGACCAACTTTGGTGATAAGAAGCTTCTAATTCAACAATCTACACAACTCATAATTACCATCTTCATAGTGACTAAACGTTTCAATCTTTGTCAACTTACTTGTTGACGAAGAATAAGCGACAATCTGAAATTTCGTTTGCTTCACATGCAATTTTATTTAGATATTTATTATCTTCAGTAATCCTGTATTTCATGGATTTTCACCGATTGTTCTTGCTGCTTACATGTATATCCGCATGACTAGCCCAGAGGATACTGTTATTGTTTCATGGGAAGTTCCCTGGCTCCATGTTTTGTTTATTTATGCGCTCAGTGAAAGCAACAATGTTAGTATCCATAGTCTAAAAAGTAGACTACTAAGCGACTATAACTGGAATTACTACTTATAGTATGTATGTAGTTTTCAGTTAACAACAACTCAGATGTTGTTTAGAGCTACCATCAACTTACTGGTTGCGCTTTCATATAAATCATTATCTTAAAAGCAATTTTCACACGGATGTTAATTTGAACATAATAGTTTTCGTACAACAGATTAGGCTTTGAGCTCAGTAAATGTAGTTTGTGAAATTGGAACAAAAAGCTCACGTAATAACCAGAAATACATAGAATTGGTTGATATCCCTCAAGATTTTGAGTTTAATACATCATTAACTAGATAATAAATCCAAAAACAAGAGCATACTAAGCATACCATAAATGTCTAGTTATAGTTAGGACAGACAGTTTAAGAAAGTCATGAATATTCCCATGCAGCATGTTAGTGGGTTATACAGAATTAAAAACTCCGATAACCTCGTCCAATCTTTGCCAAGTTTTTTATGGGAAATACTATTTTATTTACGAGTTTGGTAAAGAATGCGCGTACTAAAAACCTCCTACATGTTGGATAATGGTTAAAAGAATTTCTAATCCTCTTCGAGACGCATAATTTTCTGCAAAATACCATGTATTTATTAGTTTTGTCCAAGTGGCTGATTTCACTTTGTTATCAGATGGTGGCAAAACTTTATTAGCGTAGTATTTATGGATTCCAGATTTTACACGGAAAACATCCAGTTGTCTTACGATACAGCAAGTCTGTCTGACTTGTTAAGGACAAAATTATATCCTCAGCCTTGAGCCAAACTACTTGTGTGACTACTTTTAGGGGGCAGTCGTAGAGTTTATCGCTTGGCTAAACAATTTTCGGTTTTTCAACCTTTTTAACCACCACTTGGAGGTTGGGCCATCTCACTACCATCGTAATTAATATAGTGCACAGATATAATGTTATTTTGCGAAATACTGAACTAGAACTAAGTATTCGTATTTATTGTGTGCAACTAAGAAAGTAACTGACAAAAACTCTTGAGATACCTTTCTTGGAGAACGCAACATATAACTCAGGTAGCCCGAATAACCTCATCTCATGACTTTGGACATAAGCTTGTCTATTTTTTCTAAGGGCTCAAGTGTAAGTTTATGGGTACTTGTTTTTAAAATGCGTTCTAAACGAAATGGAAATAGTTCACAAATAAACTTGTCTAAATCTGACCATGAGGCTATCCATGCATCCGAAATGGGCGACAAAATCTTTAATCTTCGGGACTTTTAATAAAGAAGCTATAATTTTCCCTGCATTAAAAGTATTTATTCAGGTTAGGTTCTCCCTAGTTTCCTCAGCAATAGGAGTTTGTTGTTTTTATACGATCAATGCACAATTCGGTAATGTTGCAACTATACTCAGACAATCGTTTAATTTTAGCAAGTACTAATTTTAAGCATAAGGAGAGACATCGTCTAACGTGGCGACCACCTGCGCCGAATCAATGATGGACTCAAACAGACCATATTGCCATCAGTCATCGTTAAAGAGGCTCAATAGAAGATTGTCGCTCGTACTGAAATACATATTTAGACTCTGATCACGCTTTAACACGAGCAGGCATTTGTTTGCGCCTCGCTGGACGCAGAAAAAGTACAATAAAAAGACCCATTAGGATTGAACTGGAGGACGAGAAAACCAAAAGTAAGTTCCAGGAACAACTGAGTTCACATCTAGGCAGTTCTGTAAACGAGGTTTATCCAGATGTTGCTTGGAAAGATGCACGAACAGTTGTGGAAACAGCAGTAACACCTTAAATAGGAATAATATATTTGTAAAATCTCAGCGAATGAATTTGAGATTTTACAAATATATTATTCCTACTTATGTCTATTGCACTAATGGATTCTTGCAAACTCATCTCATCAGGCTCTGAACACGATGAAAAGCGAAAACAAATCAGATCTAGGTTAACCAAAAGTCTAAGGAGTGATCGTGAGCAGTGGTGGGCAACGGAAAAGGTAGCAGTTGTAGGCGACACCAGGCAACTGTTCAGACTAATAAAAGAAACGGGAATTAGGAAGTCAAGTGTAAGTGAGACGATCTCGGCGAAAGACGACACTCTTATCTCCTCTCAGTCTAGACGTTTAGAACGATAAGCGGAACACTTTAGAGAGCAGTTCAGCTGGTCTTCAGCTACACTACAGTTACCCACCATTCCCAGCCAGCCTGAACAGAACATTGAAGTAGGTCTCCTGACTCTAGGTGAAGTTCAAAAGGCTATAGCTAATCTGAAACGAGGAAGAGCAGCTGGCCCAGATGGATTGGCTCAAGAGGTCTTCAAGTATGGTGGTCCAATTTTAGCGATTTGGTTGACTAATATTTTAGCTAAAATCTGGGAGTTGGACGTAATCCCATCCAACTGGTCACAATCACTTATTGTCTCAATATATAAGAAAGGGTCCAAACATCCTGCGATAATCATAGAGGGATTCGTTTGACTAATATAGCATCTAAAATACTAACCTCAATAATTATCGGGCATCTAACTAAGACTCGTAAACTGCAAACACGAGAAAATCAGGCTAGCTTCAGACCTGGTCGTGGCTGTATCGACTACATATTCGCCATTCGTCAGGTTTTAGAACACAGGCATGCTTATCGGCGTCCGACAATAATAGTTTTTCTTGACTTAAAGGCAGTATTTGACTGTGTAGACGGAGAGGTTTTGTGGCAGTGTCTGTCATTGGAAGGTGTAACTCAGAAGTACATAAACCTTGTGAAGGCTCTTTACTCGAACACTACCAGTCAAGTGAGAGCTTATGGCGAACTGTCATATGATTCTACAACGTCAAGTGGTGTCCACCAAGGCTATCCACTATCTCCATCTCTTTTTAATTTCATCATATACCTACTGTTAGAAATAACGTTCTCGTCGACTGAATTTTCGGGCATTGATCTCCTACCAGGAGGTCCACTTATCGACTTAGACTACGCCAATGACATAGTTCTGTTTGGTGAAGCCGCTGATAAAATACAGTCTTTTGGTAGCATTGAGCAACAATGCCAGGATATTTGGAATGCGTTTCTCTACCTCTAAATGTAAATTGTTACTCCAGGACTGGTCTGCGTCAACACCTGAACTAAGGATAGGGAGTGAAGTAGTCGAACACGTCGACAACTTCACTTATCTTGGAAGTCTGATCAGCCCTAATGGGTTGGTGTCTGACGAAATCTCAGTACGGATTCAAAAAGCTCGTTTGGCTTTTGCCAACTTACTTCACCTATGGCGAAGACGAGATATCCATCTATCAATTGAGGGACAAGAGTTCGCTCTGTTCTACTTTACGGCTGCAAAACGTGGTCATCAAGGGTAGATGATACTCGTAAGTTACCAGTATTTGACCACCGATTCCTTAGAAATATTGCTCGCATCTGCTGGGATCACCGGGTAAGTAATAGTGAGGTTAGACACAGGGTATTAGGGAATGATGGTAAATCTGTCGATGAGGTCATGAATCTTCATCAACTGAGATGATTGGGCCACGTGTTACGTATGCCTGAACACCGATTACCGCGACGCGCAATGCTGACTAGTATTGGCGATGGTTGAAAGAGTTAGGGGCGGCCAAACCAAAGCGTGGCATCAGAACTTTAAGTCACTAACTTCTAGTTTGAGCCATGTTGGTAGATGCAGACTACCTGGTTGGGGTCCGCGTGACTACCATAACCAATGGTTGGAGACTCTGGGTTACATGGCTCAGATATATACACTTTTTATCTTCCCTTAAACCGTGAGATTAAAATTGCTTTATATATCTTCCTTCCTCTACTATAACCTTATATACAACCTTTCTTTTATATATTAACACCACTAAATTAACTACTATGAATTTGGTGTTCATCTTGTTGGGCAAACGAGGTATGGCAACTTGGACCGATGCATATATGTGCCTGGTCCTATTTTGTATCTGACTGACTGACTGACTGAATTCGGTGATATGGCTGTAGGAAGACGTATGCAAATCGTGAATACTTCTGGATAGCAGTGATCTTATAATGGTTCTGCAAACCTTTTTTATATTTATAACTGATTATATAAATTCTGAAATAGTTCTATTCCGTATGTACAGTGTTATATCAGTCATTTAAGGACTTATCATTAGTTTGTAGTTTTAAAACCGCATTAATTCTGTTTGGGTATTTGAGTAGTATTTTTAGTTCGTAGACAATGTGTGGCTAGAAGTCCACTGTACAGTCATGTACTTAGCTACTGATTTCGTTTAACCGTGGGTTTTATTTTTTCATACTTAGTTAAGTTAGTATCCAGGTGGTGTTGTCAGGATTACAAGTGAAAAAGCTACTGGTTTGTCTACTATCACTTTGAAACTTAACGTGGTTAGTGACAAATTTCCTCGCCATATATCTTAAATTATTTTACATCTAATTTTTTGCACACAGTTATATGGCCGGACAGATTAGAAGTAACCGGCAATTTATTTGCGGTTTATAAAATACTAAATTTGGAAAATGTGAACTTCATGTCATATGTTTGGGACACCCGACCGTATCATTCATTTTAGCACGATCAGTAAAACTGTTGCTTAATTTATTATCGTACACTTTGTAAGTCGTGATAAAATTGACACTGGGAAATTATTTTCATTTTCAGCCCGAATGGTCTGACAAAAAAAGAGCGAATAGTCGAGAGTAAAGTAAGTTGTTCACAGCTTTTTTTACCTAATCGATTACGACTTGGCTTAGGATAGTGGTTCTAACAATGTATTTTGGTAACATGTTTTCATCTATATCTTTTGAATTTTGCCGTAGTTTAAAGGGGTATGTAGTTAGTCAATGAAAACTGGTCAATTCCAGATTGTACATAAAAATTTTGTTGGTTGTAATCTTTCATTTAGCATTAACTTCTAGAAAAGCCATAGTCAACACATTATCCGGTGTCTTCTACCTTTCACACACTGCTAAACTTAAGTACATCACTTTTCATAGATATGCATTTATAGTATATGTATATGTAATCTCGTCACCCTTTCTATGATGTTTACATGCATTCTCAGCGTATTATTGGCTTGTGCTACAATCACTTTTTGCCTAGGTATTCAATAAAATAGTCACTATATTGGGTTGATATTAGGAATTCAACTATCTAGCATTTCAAATAATGTAGATTTCTACCTAACTGTCTGTTCATTGATTAGTGTAGACGAAATCTCAAAAGTAGTGCATAACATTCTTTGTAGCCTCGAGGAACGTCCTGGTTATAAAAGGAACTTCCTATCAATTATTTTCCTAGTGTTTATCGATCCGTTTTGACAGATAGAAAGCCTGTTTATTCTGATAAATCTCTATGATACTTATGCAAGTATAGTAGATGCTTGTGGTAATAACTGGTAATGAAGATGAGACATTTTAGTATGGGATTATTACCTCTGATTGTTCTGTTTCAACCTTGGAGTGGTAATGCAAAATTTACCTGATTCCTGTAATGTTCAGTGTTCTCGTATACGTCAGCAAAATTACAGTCTGCCAAATTCAGTATCATACAAAATAACTACTAAGTAGTAAACTGTCATCTATGGGATTTGATTTCATGTAAAGTGTATATACTTTGTGGCAGGAATATTTTAGAAATTTCCAAATTCGTATTTGAATTAACTCGTACGAACTGTGTTGTATTTCTGTGTTTAGTATCGTAAGAATGATATTCGTCGTGTTGATAAATGGCTAAAGATGATTAGTCGGTGGGAAGAAGTTGATTCTTTATGGCATCGTATGTACAGAAATGGCCGAGCTTCAGAAAAGGTAAGTATTTATATCGTTTACTGTCATCTATTTCATTGTACTTCAGAGAACCAATCATTTAGATGTGAGTCAGTGGCTTAGTGATTTAATCACTCAGTTTTTGATAGGCTTTAGGTTCGAACACCCCCTTCACTTCAACGGTTTAAGTGCCCACCTAGAATCATTTTTCTTCATGAGAATACTGTATCAAAGCCTGGTACAAAAATTTGCATATTGCTAAAAGATCTGTTGGAAATTCCTCCTTTTTACAACTATGCTACAATCGTTATATTTTATATGGTTTCTTTTTGTAGGATGGCATGGCCCAAAATCATTTGCAGTGGTGCAAGTGCATTCACTCTCTGTCTTCACTGATTTATATTTTCCTGAATCGTATCTTTGATGCCTAGTCTTTCTTACTACTAATAATACTACTACTCTGGAATTTGGCCTAACAATTTCATTTCATTGTACCAACAGAGTATGGCATTTTTAACCGATGTACATACGTACCACGTTCTACGTTGTGTATCACGATAGGTCAAAATTTAGACGAGTAACAGTCATAGGATCATCAATTTACTAATCCCCATCTCATCTAATCTACAATATAAGGTCAAATCCAAATAAAACTGTTTTATCCATTATTATGTAGCCGCGTTTTATCGGCACTCATTTATCAGTAAATTAATAAGTTTAAGCACCTAATTCGTATATTACTTTTATTTTTAGGTTGGTTCTGTGTTACGCCTTATAAGATAAGAGTGATTCATTACAAATGTTTACATAGACATAAAGTTGTTCTTACTCCATTGCTAGCTAAACTAATAAGGTACAGACTTTGTAGGTTTAGCCCTTGATATATGTGATATATCCAAAATTATTTTCATTCCCCTTATTTATGCATCCTCTCCTCCAAAGTTGGTTGAAATTTCTCATCCATTCACACATTACATTATCCAGTAATAGGTGACTTAAGGGGATTTAAGCTCCTTGCCTATCATTTTACCAAAACGAAACTATCCGGTATGTTCTTTACTATCAGTTTTTTATTCCAGTCCCCTTCATTAAACGAAACAGGTTGTTCTTCAATTCAGGAACTTCCATCACTAAGCTAAGAGCAATTTATTCAAGCAGCATGTAGTTCTAACTTAAATGGCTGTCCGTGTACTCTACTATGCGCTAAATTTGATTATATCTGCGATTAAAATGTATCTACTGCATTAACCCATGCTCATGAACAATCTATAATTGTGAGCTGTTTTTGCGTGTATTTGACATCAGCGTTTGAAGGTATCCAAATATATAAAAATATTACAAGCTGATTATATTTATTTTTTGTCGATGTGCATTGTGTTTTGAGAAAATCTCATCACAGACATCTCGGCTGATTGTCGAAACAGAAACATACTGATTGACTTGGCTTTAGAAAGTTGCACGATTTAAATTGATGTCAATGAATGTCACATTCAATTTTTTAGAATCTTCATTAACATATTTGTACTTAAATTATTAATTTTTAATAATATCTTTTATAAATTTACATGATACGTTTAACTGGTGCACTTTTACACTGGTTTTAATCTGTTTTCTCCTTCAATCTACATATATTCAAATGTTTTTTCTTAAAATCTTAGACAATAGTGACAGTAAAGTATGTCAACGCAAAATGGTATTGAAAATGTTAAAAAATTCTGCTTTTTTATTTCAATCATTTGTAATTTTTTCCTTCCATATTTTCGTCAACGAATAACAGAACACCATCCGTCATGGTTGAATAAAGGACAGGTAAAGGGGATTAAGAGTTCTATTCTCGCTCACTTGGTGGACACAGGTCATCAGGTTGAACTGAATAAAGCTTTTAAGGTTATCTACCATATTCCATCTAATTTGCCTCATGGTTTACGAGCACGTCTATTGCACATAGCTGAAGCCATCGCAATTCATATCCACAAACCGAACCTTTGTATCCAAAAGAAGTTTGTACAACCACTCTCGCTACCTTGGCCATCGGTATAGCGGAGCTTGTAGCATAATTTCGGTAAACAATTATCTTATTCCTTCCATTTTTTGTATTTTACTTATTCTCTTCATTCGTCTCTTGATTCTTACATAACTACTATATTACTGACCATTCATCAAAATATTTTGTTAGTTCTTTCTTCTCATTTTTATATATTATGCAGCGTAGCAACAGCTTAATTTTCGAATATCTACTTTGATTAGTATTAATCCTTCTCTTCCAATTAATGTTAGTTTATAATCGATGTCATTATATAATCATTACGTAACGTAACTACTCCATGAGTGTTATTTAATTATTGTAAATCATATATATATATTAGTGTAGAGCCATGATGAAAAACTAATTGAAAAGAAATTTCTTCGCTCGATTCGTTCCTTTCTTAATTAACAGATGTCAAAATGGGAATTTTCACTTCCATATTTTGTTAATCATATTTTAATCATTGTTAATCATATTTTGTATTAATATATATGCATGTATATTTTTTTTGCTATCAGTTAACCCGGAGAATTTTTAAAGGAATTCCTGATCGATTTCGTATGACTGTTTGGCCTCTTCTTCTCTGTGTGACAGATATAAAAAATAAAAATAAAGATATTTATACGGTAAGTATCTTCGCTTATTTAAGTTAAATGCATATACATGTGTGTATATTCTAGCTGTAGTCGAATGTGAAATTTACGATTATTGAAAATTTACTGACATTCAGCTTTCAATCAAAAGGTCTCAACTTCTAACCTTGTTTCATTCACTGAAATTTGAATGGTTAGATGGTAGGTTGGGGGGGGGGTTGTTTAAAATTATTGTGTTTGGAATGTGTGTATTTCATTTTACTGAAAACTCATCAGGTTCACGTATTCACACCTAGTATCATTTATTAGTCTTGAATAAACCTCAACTAGGCTTAGAGACGTCTCCTATTATGTTTTGTATACTGTCATTTATTTTATTTATTTATTTAAACACATAAATATTGGTACAAGGGGGCACCAGATATATATGCGCCTCACAAATCTCATTTGATTTGTGTGAGGGCTGTGATACTGCCCAGGTGTCCAAACTGAAGCAGGTGGTTTACTTAGGGGCCCACACTCCGAGCCTGATTATGCCACTGGCCATCATAAACTCAAAGTCGGCTAAATGAACTTGTGCTTGGTGATTAACAGTAATTTTGTACTCAAATCTAGTGAGAAAACTCACCTTTATTCGCCTCCTACTGTAAAAATAATCCCCGAGCAATTTAATCAATACTCTGTTCGACTGAATCCACACGTATAGTAATATAACTCATTTAACACTTTCCAAATTTGGATAAATCTATATTTGTTGACTTTTTTTGAAATAACCCACTTTCAGGTATTTCGTATTGTTCTCTATTCTACGGTTTTGGGAAAAGAACGATTTTTAGGCAATAAAATTTTTTATCGTGGGTGGGGTGCGCACCATAATCTTTGCTTTTAAGTTGCAAGTTTTATGTAACATATGACGTGAAATCGGTCTTATTGGTACGGATGTTTTCCTTCTTTACCTTTGCATAGATATTGTATTTTAATACACGTATGCTAATTCTTTTCATTCATAGTTTCTATCCGTTCCTTCTTTGGGTTTCATTCTTTATATTTGATTTTTTACAGGAACTGATACCCTTATCTCATTATGCTGGTGTAAAATGAGTGCTAAATTCGACCTACTTAAGCTTGTGCTAGTTCCTAAATTGTATTTAACTGACTATATTGGATAATAAATATTCTATCAATGTAACGTAATGTTTAGATATTCATCTTATCGATAAGGCCAAACGCTTACAGAAGCCGGTTAATTCAGCTCTTCTGGCCAATATACATTGAACAAGGGGTGAACATTCTGGTCCACTATTTTGGTATTTTCATAAACGTGCTCTGCGTTCAAATCTTGTTGTGGATAGTAATACTCACTCGGATGTAGGTACATCTAATTAGAAAATCTTATATAGGACAAAACTAGTGACCTAGATTCCACTTTTATCCACCAACAAACTTATTGTCATTTAAATTATCAATGACTGATTGATTCATTTTGCTTACCTAACCCAATATATCAGTGTACTGTTTCATCAGAGTCAACCTTTAAAAATTGTATGTACATAACATTCTCAGTTTAATAAGTTTTGAAACTAAAATCTTATGTGTAATATAATGTCTGCAGCTAACTTTACAACTAATTTTAGCCCATTGAAATGAGAATATAAAACGATGATATCTGTAGCTTCTATTTATTATTTGGTTACAATTCAGAAATAGTTTGGTTAGATTGAATTGTGAACTGATAAGAATCCTTAGAAAGGTTGGAATTTCAGTCTAAATTTAGGTAGTGCGTAAAGTAAATTATGGCGGCTTGGAAATATGGATCATCAGGTTTCCGACTCAGTCGTGATAGCGTGCTCCCATCCGACCTCAAAGGTTTTGAGTTTGATCCTATGTAGGGTCATGTGTGAACACTATCACCGAAGAGCCCCAAAATAAGACGAAACAACTGCACAATGCATCTTGGCTTCCAGTGATTTCCCATAAAGGAAACTGCCTTTAGAACATTTGTCTGTAATTTTTACGGAAAGTGTTCCTGCCTACCAATGCTGTGTTCATACACCTTAGTACTTTTTTCATGTTGTTTTGGATGTTTGAGGTTGATGGTTTTTCTTTAGCTACTGATTTTGTATTTTTGTTGCTGCATTAATTCCAGAATGTAGATAGATTTTCGATGCAGTAGTGTATATCTTGTTTAGCTTGTCTTGTGTGCTCAGTACATCAACTAAACATTACTTACCTCATAATCACCCCCTTATCATGGACAAAGTTTCCCAAGTACCGTCTTAGTCGATGATATTAGCGATTATTTAGAGTAAAAGCCGTACACCCGACCGTTGCTGCTACCTTGACGTGGTGGTTGGGCTTGCCTATCGTGATGAAGCAATCGAGCTATGCTGGCTGGAACAATCGTTCCTCGAGGTCCTACCATGCCAGACAGGTCGGTTGAAGAGCGGTAAGACTAAAAGCAGCAACCCCAAGTTTCGTAGGCGAAGTCGTACTGCCGACTGTACAGAAGTGTGACGGCAGTAAGGTGTTTCCTTCAGACAACCAGCATCACAGCGATGCTGCCTTCCCACAAGGAAGGGTGGGGTTAGTAAAGGTCGACCCTAAAAATGCACACCTCGCCTTATCCCACGGATTTCCGTCTCCAGCGGTAAGGTCCTTTGAAGAAAGGAGCTAACACGTCAAAAATCCCCCACAAAAAGGCCGTGCGTGACCGGCCTCAAGCAGTTGTCCCTTGGACACTAGTATTCGATCATAGGTGTCTTCGAAGCATTGCTCGTATATCCTGGGACCACCGGGTAAGTAATGCAGATGTTAGGAAACGGGTACTAGGTAAGGATGGCAAATCGATTGATGAAGTACTGAAACTTCATCAGTTGAGATGGTTGGGACATGTGTTACGTATGCCCAACCACCGACTGCCCCGACGTGCAATGCTTTATGGTGTAGGAGCAGGTTGGAAGAAAGCTAGGGGCTGCCAGACCAAAACATGGCATAAATCCATGAAGTCGCTGACAAGTGGACTGGGCCGTGTTGGTAGGTGTAGACTACCTGGTTGGGATTCGCGAGATGATAGCAACCGATGGTTAGAGACCTTGAATGACATGGTTCAAAATCATTTGCAATAGCGAGGGTGCATACACTCTTTGTGTTCTACCTAATTCTAATCTTCTGAATTCTTCATGTCCGTATCCTTTTTCTCTTTCCAAATTTATTTCATGGTATTATACTCCTTCGATAGCATCTTCAAACCCTTATCTTTCACATAATACTTATACTCTTACTACTTGTACCACTATGGGATTTGAATCGACAACTTCATCTCTGTGCTAATGTGATATGGCAACTCGAACTGATGTACGTACGTACGAAGTTCTACGTTGTAACTGACTGACTGACACACATTTGACTCTTCATACACTAAAGTTATAAAACTGTCATTCTCGAAATCCACGTAAACTACTTTTTATATTTTCAAAAGGTTATTTTCATCATATGGGGTCAATCGATAAACAAGAGCCACTAGACAAATATTTTATAGTTTTCCGACTCAGTGATTTTACACACACCCCACAGGACGAATGATGTCTAGTTCACTTAAAAAAATAAGATTATTGCTTGTAGTATCATGTATGATGGTAATATCTTATCAATTATAGAAGGGGTTTTGTGGAGATTTAGTATTTATCATTGTTGAAAGCGTGAGTCAATTGAAGCTAGACCACCATGGAAAACCAGTGTTTCCAGGTTTTCCATGGTGGTCTAGCTTCAATTGACTCACGCTTTCAACAATATCTTATCAATTTGTTCCATTTATTTAAATGTAATAATAATAATGCAGTTCTTTAGTAATATTCATTTCGATGAAATTAAAGTGGGTTTGTCGGTTATATTCATGACATGATCACTTTTTACATGTGTGTCTGCATGCATATAACAATTATGAGGTCAAATTTCTGCTTTCGCTCCTTACATTCACACGCTAATAGGAAAAAAATATATAATAAAGAAAGAAAAAGAGAGAGTTACGCAGTTCGACGTTGTACAGCGGGCAAATGAAGTTTGTGTATTCTGTAAAGACAATGATGAATGTATTTATTTCTGTCACCTAAAGCCTCCGTCCTCACTATCTACTTTGATTACTGTCTGAAAACTTTTCATAATTAGTTAGTGTTATTATTCTGACCAGATAAATCGAACTTATTTTTCTAAATGCCAAGAATCAAGTATATTCACTGACATTTACACTTGTATCATGGAGTATTGTAAATGTTCAGTTTACTGTGTCAGACCTTTGGATTAGTGTCTTTCTGTACATCTGTCTGCATGCATGTCTTTCTGTCCATCTCTAATTCCAAAAAGTTTACTTTTCTGTGTTTTCGTGTATTCACCAAGTCATTAAAAATGATTTTTTGTGTGTTATTCTATCAAAAGACTAATATTTGAACGAAGAATATTCTTTTCGACAAATTCTCTTCAGGTTCTACAATTATATATCCAAATTAATAATCCGAAAAATTGGCCAGGTTAAAGGCAAAGTACATAGTTTAATGCATGTAAATTTAGGATTGTCAAACCAAATAGTTAATGTTGATATGACTCATATAGAATGTTAACTTGAATCTGTATATGTGGTAAGTGAAAATTTAAGATCTGTGATCAGAATATAAATATGGGTCAGATAGGGTGAGAGAGATATATGATAGTGCAATTACAATTCGATCAAGTGGAAGACTAAATGTGTGAAAAATTAGTGAGACGTAATAAGGAGGGATCAATGCGATGTGAATGAATCATGTCTAGGGGGGATTAATAATGATATTTAACCAATAATAATAATAATAAAATACAAAGATTTGTGAATAAAGATAAGAGACAATTACATTTGACTACGAAAGGTCGTAAGTACATAGTCAAATTAGGTTGACATTAGAATCACTGCACGTATAATCCCCTACCACCCTTTTTTTGGAAATTAAAGGATATGAAAAAATTTAGCAATTGGTGATTGGTGAATTTGTTTTTGAAAGTGTGTG